ATAACATGTTAGAATTAGGGTTTGTATGCGAAAAAACGACAAAAATAGTTATGACCTAATCTCAAGATAAACAAGCATGAAAATGGACACACATCTCACACTTGCACCTCTAGGATACTCCACTTTGTTGCCTTCAAATAAATGGGCCATATTGTATGTTGAACTTCTTTGGGCAAAGCAAACAATTTGAATGATCATAGTCCCTCGATAAAACTTTTCAAAACAAACAAAAATAAATGATCAAGTCCCTTAAAGAAAATTGCCCAAATACATTTAACGCCGTTGCAATTATGGTCTAAACGATGACCCGCGCCTGTCCCTTTCACATCCTAACATAAGGTTGTCCACCAAATACAATGGTGGAACAAACTTGTTAAAAGGGTTAAAACATAGCAATAATCTTTTGAGAAATTTAGGAGTAGATAACCTCTTAGTTACTTGAATCAAACTTGCAAAACAAAACACTTACCTAATTTCAAAACCACACCTCACTACACTTTCAAAATAACTTTCAAAACAACTTTCAAAAACAAATGAAAACCTTTTCAAAAGACATACATCTTTGTATATATCCCCACATGGATCATTACAAAGGTTGCCACCACATTGGCCTCTTTTCAAAACATTTTCAAACCCATTCACACAAAGCACCATTTCAAACAAATTGAAAACAAAAGGCAAGTGATCTAAGCAAGTAACTAAGAGCCCATGGATAACCATGGATAGAAAGGGTGCTAATACCTTCCCTTTCTATAATCTACTCCCCGAACCCAAGAAAACATCTCAAAAGGTTTTTGCTGTGCTTTTTTAACCTTTCCTTAGGATAAAATAAAAAGTCGGTGGCGACTCTTGCTCAACCGAAACATTTGCGAATACAAACGCAAAACCTCAAGTCAGTTCTCCCACCGTATCACAGAACTGGCGACTCTGCTGGGGATATTTCTTTTTTTTTAAAGTGGAGTAACCTTAGGGCTTAGATCACCTTTGTTTTCAATTGATTGTCTTGTTTGCTTTTACTTTTGTGGGCTTTGTATCGGAGTTTTATAGATCCTAACCCGGATCTGGGGATACCTTCTTAGAAAGTAGCAACAAGGCTGTGAGGGAACTGTGCGGGGTATACCGACATGGTTGAAGCAGTCTGCTACGTTGATGTGGCACTTTGGTGTGTACCGGTAACCCTTGAGTTCAGTCAAGGAGAGTACGGGGCCGCCGCGTGGTGTCGTGAAGCATCAACTGACCTTAGTAACCTTAATTGAACCATCTTGGCCTTTTTAGGGTAGTGAGATAACTGACTTTGGTGCAGTCCGAGGTTGGTTGATACTCGATACTACACTCAATTGAGGGTTGCTTTCCTGGGATATTTCGGTCGCCAGTTCAGTGGCTAAATCGAAACGATGAACAATGAAAGTAATCCAGTGATATTGGGACCCTTAGAACCCGGTTACTTCTAATAGGACAGGTTGAGCCCACCAAACTTCAAGAGGGTAATACCCAGACCCCATGCAGGCCTAAACCCTAAGGGTTTGTCTTATGTGACTTGTGTGCCTTACCATGTTTGCCTTTGTGAATATTTGTGGTGTATTTAATCATAACATCATGACATCATACAACATCATGTGCATTGACTGACCATTTCAAGGGTTTCGAATCTTCATCTTTGTTCTTGTTTTATAGGACATGGAAACTGCTCGCAGAAAGACAATTCAGATTAGCCTTGTAAAGATCCCTCCTCAGCTTAAGGAACTTATGTCCAGGATTCCCGAGGGTTCTTCATTCAGTGAGAGACATGGAAGACTCATCAGCTTGGTTAACACCAACATTGAGGAAGATATGATAAAAGTCTTGTTCCAGTTCTTTGACCCTCTGCATCACTGTTTCACTTTCCCGGATTATCAATTGGTGCCTACATTGGAAGAGTTCTCCCGACTTCTGAAGGTTCCTATCCTTGATCAACTACCCTACAACGGTACGGAAGAGGAACCCAAGCTTGAAGAGATTGCTAAAGCCTTGCACCTACAACCGTCTGACCTCAAGGGACATTGGGAAGTTAGAAGTGGTATCAAGGGTTTCTTAGCCAGGTTTCTATTCGAGAAGGCCCAAGAATGTTGGAACTCCCTTGACCTACAAGCTTTTGAAGAAGTTGTGGCCCTCCTTGTCTATGGTTTGGTGTTATTCCCTAACCCAGATCAGCTTATTGATATCAGTGCTGTCCAGATCTTCATGACCAGGAATCCTATACCTACGTTGCTGGGGGACATCCTTCACTCATGTTACACTCGAACCATGAGAAGAAGGGGTGTCCTTATGTGTTGCACTCCTCTCCTGGGAAGGTGGTTTATTTCGCACCTTCCACAATCAGTTTTGAAGAACGAGCGGGGTTTGAGATGGTCACAACGGTTAATGACTCTCACGCATGCAGATATACATTGGTGCCCTAGGTCCAGAGAAGACATCACTATCATTGATCGCTGCGGGGAGTACCCTAATGTTCCTTTATTTGGAATCAGAGGAGGTATTACTTACAACCCATGCCTGGCTTGGAGACAGTTTGGTTATGCTCGGAGGGATGGCCCTCATGACATGTTAATTCCTAACATAGTTTTTGACTTCGACAACGATACTCAAGGACTTCGCCAGAGATTTATCAGAGCTTGGAGGATGCCAAGTAGGATGGACAGCAAGACACTGGGGCACAGGAACTCCATCCCGTTGGAACCTTATCTCAAGTGGGTACGAGCCCGCTCCCAGAAGTTAGTGATGCCTTATCCCCATATGCTCCCTGTGATCAAAGAACCAGTCTTGGAAGGAAAGGTGTCCTACACCATTCAACATCCTGACATGCCCACCTCCTGGGAAGAAATGCAGAAGAGCTGGGTCCAGCTTAAGGAAGAACGGAATTCTCTTGAGACCAGTCTACATGCCAGTGAAAAGAAGGTCCTGGAAATCACCCGCATACTGCACGAGGAGAGGAATCTCAACACCTACATCGCACCAAAGAGGATGCGCAATGTTTTTTTGCCTTAAGGAGTCATTTTGTAATATTTGGCCCATGGGGCATTTATGTACTAACGAATTTCTCCTTATTAATATGATGTGCGTTCCTTTTTGTCTACAACAAATTTTGAATATTCTAAATCCTTGAATGCATTGCATACATACGCATTCCATTGCACCATATGCATAGCAGGTACCCTATTTCACATGTTGCTTAATCTTCTTCGCTGTTTGTGTGCACAGTCATCATGAATCCAGACTCATCCAGTGAGCAAGCAATCAAGGCCCTTCAGGCCCAAAGTGCGCAGTTTCAAGAGATGGTCCTAAGCCTAGCCCAGGGTCAGCAAGAGTTGAAGACTCTACTCCTGAAGAAGAAGAAGAAAAAGAGGACTGCGTTGTTCAACACCGGACGCAGATTTGGGAATACACTCCACAATGAAGCTGATCCAACTACTTCTTCTGCTGAGAAAAACAGTCCCCAAGGGGGAGGAGCTCCTAGTCCCGCAGTCTCCGACAACGAGACGGACTATAACGACGAACAATACCCACCTGCTGCTGACAGATACAAGCAATTGGAGGACCGCTTGAGCGCCATGGAAATTCAGAATGTGCCGGGGCTGGATTTCGGAGATTTGGGGTTATCTTCTGGGGTAGTAATTCCACACAAGTTTAAGGCGCCTGCCTTCGCCAAGTATGATGGGGTCTCCTGCCCAAAGCTGCATCTGAGGTCGTACGTAAGGAAAATCCAACCTTACACGGCAGATAAGAACCTTTGGATTCACTTCTTCCAAGATAGCCTCTCGGGGTCACAGCTTGAATGGTTCTACCAATTAGATGGAACTAGCATCCGACACTGGGAAGATTTGGCAACCGCATTCTACAGACAATACCAATACAATTCTGATCTCGCTCCTACGCGTACCCAACTCTAGGGTATGTCTCTAGGAACGGGTGAAGGGTTCAAAGAGTACGCTCAAAAATGGAGAGATTTGGCTGGCAGGGTGCAGCCTCCATTGACTGATCGAGAGCTGGTTGATATGTTCCTAGGGACGTTGTCTGGTCCGTTTTTCAATCATTTGGTTGGTAACTCCTCCGCTGGGTTTACAGATTTGATATTGACGGGAGAAAGAATTGAAGCTGGCATCAGGTCAGGCAAGATACAAAAGGCTGCCTCCACAAGTGCTGAGAAGAGGCCGTTTAAGAAAGAAGCAAGTGCCGTCTATGGTACTACACTACAAGAAAAATGATAGATTGGGACGGTTATTTTGGCTGATTACGACGGTTAAAACCGTCGCAATTTACAATCTACGACGGTAGAAGTACCATCGCAGAATCGTGCGTCCCCAGCCTATTTCGCGACGGTTGCAAAAACTGTCACGCACAACAGATGGCGACGGTTATATACCGTCGTGAATTTGACTTTATTTTTTGTTTTTGTTGTTGTTTGCGACGGTTATATACCGTCGTGAATTTGACTTTATTTTTTGTTGTTGTTGTTTGCGACGGTTATATACCGTCGTGAATTTGACTTTAACCGTCGTAATCTGATTTATAAATTTCAAATAATATTTTTATTTAAATTATTATTTAGTAAAATAATTTTAAATATAATATTATTTTACTATAATATTTTACTATTATATTTAAATTATTATTTACTTTAATATTTTTTTATTTATAGTATTTTTATTTTATTTTCTATCACTTTTCAACATTGTTTTGAAATGAGCAATCCAATTGTTTTGAAATATTTACTAACTCAGTATTATTAATTCAGTTGGGAAACCATTTGTAAAATAATGCAAGGAGACATTGCTTTTGCTATTGAAGCGTGAGATTTCCGTGAGATACCAGTACTTATTATTGGGAGAAAAGATTTATGAATTATTGCACATTGTAATATGCTTATACCACCTTATAACTTTGCTACAAGTTACCTATAACAAGTGAGATTTTCCGATTTTCAGGAACTATAACAAAAAGAGGTTAGCTCCGAAATCTCTTGATCATTTTGCAATCTTTGCAGCCATTTCTCTGACCAACTTAGCAGCTACCATAGCAGTCATTCCATCAACAGTATCGCGTTGTGGGTTGAGTTCAACGACGTCTCCAGCAACAACATCACCTTGAAGATTGTGTAGGATGTTAAGAACATCGCGGAAAGAAAGACCTCCCGGTTCAATATGAGACACTCCCGGAGCAAATGCAGGATCAAGACAATCCACGTCTATCGAGATATACACCCCTTTCACACCTTCCCCTAGTTTCTGCACAAGGAAATCACCAAGGTTTAAAAAGAACATACAAATGCACAAGTTAGTATCAATACATGCACACTCGGCATCAAGGGCACTTGTAGCTTCATCAAGAAGTAATATTTTTGGATCTTTCAAAATTGCTCTTCCAATTGCAACTCTTTGCTTTTGACCTCCCTAGAGTTGAGTTCCATGTTCACCAACCATTGCGTCTAGTCCCTAAGATCATTAACCATGTTTAAACAAAATGATTAAATAAAAAAGAACACGCTCAATATGAAGGGGTAGAATATTTCAAACTGTAAAATAGAATTTACTATGACGTTACATGTACATTCAGGAGGAACATGAATACCTTGTACTAATACAGTGAATTGATCGATGAAGCTCCAGCTTGGAGGAATAGAAGCAAGCAATTAGTTGTTATGCAATGTACTCATACTCCTTCATGTAATATTAACATCAACCATGAAACTCAATCACTGTCATACAGGTTAACATAAACAATAATAATTGAAAGCATGTATTTAAAAAAAATGTGAGCAATAATCACTTACAAAATAAAGAAGAATGCAAACAACCCCGATGAAAATGTAAGCAGCGCAAAATTGAATCTGTAACCTTGATAAAGGCCAAATCTAGCGATTAGAGTTCCTATGTTATAACTGATACAAATTAAACGAAAAGACTCGAATTTCAATAACACTTACTACAAATATTTCACTCACATGTGTAGTAGTGTAAATAAAACAACAAACATTAAAATTGTCATTTGTTAGGTGCCATCATCACAATACCCTATAAGACCAGTCAAGTATTTATGATGAACTATAGCAAAACATTTGGCCTTTCAATCACAAAGGATAAAACTTGTTAACTGTATTTACACTCACACAGGCATGATGACATTTGCAAGTTAGTTAATCATACTACCTCTACTTGAAATTGTAGATATCCTTGAGCTGATGAGAAAGATAGCATTTTGACAGCTACGTCAATATCATCACAATCCAGCCATGGTAGACTATTTCAGATGCTTCTTTCCCCCACCACCTTTTCAAAGTTTCTGGTAATGCTTAATACTTCTTCATAGGTGAATTCTTGTTTCTTTGACTCTAGTTCTTGCTTTATTCTTGAATAAGCACCAACCTTGCTCACCTGATGGGAAGCTATGACGAAGAAACACATTCATTATCGAAATGGAAGAAAAAGTACCACGAAGATTGAGAAACTTACATGTGTGATGAATAAACTATATAAAAAATATACCTTTGCAATAACATGGTAGGCTGTCAAGGTTCTAAGAAAATACTTCATCTCTTAAATTGCTTCAACATACAAATAAGGAATACATAATCCCTAAAATGTTTCCTCTTTCATGTAACTCACCACTAACTAAGAAGTTTCATTGGCCTTTGCATTTTCTTCTAAACCTTCCAATTAAATTGACCCCTGTGAAATTTAATATTATTCAACCAAGAATGAAACACATGAAAATTAAGTATAAAACTACACAATAGTACTTCAATAGTTCAACTTTTACAATAACATATACTGTCCAAAAAAAAATCTTTATTACAGAAAGTGAATATGTTACAAATTATAAGATATTATCCAAAAAAATTAAACTCTAAAGAACACGCCAAAGAACAAATGAAACATGCAGGTTGCCAAAATCAAGTATTTTAATTCATCCTCTGAAATTTTGAATTAACACATTTTTTCAACCGTCCAAACTCACAGTTTTTTAATCCAAACAATCTCCTTCAGAAACTTGAATCCAACAAATCTTCTAGACAAAAAAAAACAACTACTTAAAAAATCTATAGTTTCAATGCTTGGCGAAGTTTCCACCTTGAGAGTGCGAACAGATAAGCCACTCGTTTTGTTCTTCATGTTACAAACTTTCGTAAAAGATTAGAAATCAACACAAAGCCTATTGAAATCAACACAAAGCCTATTGAAATCAACACAAAGCCTATTGAAATCAACACAAAGCCTATTGAAATCAACACAAAGCCAGCTCAGTTATCTTCCATTCTTTCATATTTCGGAATATATCATGTTGGTCACAATCTTATTGCTCTATATCTATAATAGGGTTAGTCCAAATATTTGGTATGAAAGGCGAGCAAATTACTAAGTAAAATTTGGATAAGGGTTAATTTATGCTCACCTCTAAGACGTTGTAGATCACATACAGTTTGATTGTTGCTTGACCACGGATTATATGATATATGAAGCTGATATCTAAAACAACAAAAAATTAGGAGTGGTGAGCATAACACCAATTTCAGCATAAGAAACAACCTGATAATTCAAAACAGAAATATGTATATGGAACTAAACCTATTTGCTGCAAAACAGTGATTCCACAAGCCATAATAATAAAATAGCCAAAATCCGACAATTCATTGCATGTGTTAATCTGTGAGTATTTAAGATAGAATATTACAAAACTTAACAATCAAGTAGTAAGATAATCCAGTAAAACATAAACTGCATAAAACTCTCTGGATAGGTAAAAGGAGAAAACATACAATTGGATCAGGCGCGTTTACTTGCTGGCACATAACCCAGGGAACACCTGTATCAAGAGATGTAGCCATCGATGCTGCCCAATTGATGTAAGATTTACCAGCAGGACCATAGTGTATATCAACGTTTCCATACTCATTTTCAATCTGGCATACCAAATAACTGAGCAATAATTTCCTTAAAAAAAGAAAATTGGCTTGTATTTTGATGATTTTAAGAGAATGAAACCTGAGATAAAATGATAGGTCCTCCTTGTGATGCATAGAGATTCTCTTGCTTCATCAAATCCACAATCTTTGCTGTAAACCGTTTCATTTCTGCCTTGAATGGTTCATTATCAGTTCTGAACTTAATTCCCGGAATAAAATGCAACCAAAGAGGGAAACCACTGTTTAGGAAGGGAAAAGAAATTAAAGTCAGGGATTAGATATTATGATGAAACTGTCTTCAAAATGATACATTGAAAAGATCCAATTTTACCCGTAATTCCATTCTGCACAAGCGTATGGACCGATCCGGAGATGAACATATAGACCTGCTGCTGCTACTGCCTTCACAAATCCAACCAAATCACCCCTACCTTCAAAATTGTACTGCCAAGCCAAAATATGTAATCCATCGTTAATTTTGAGAACTCACAAAACTGCAATGTAAAAGACAGAAGAATAACAATATGAAAGTGGAAAGACAATGAAAAAGAACAGAACCTGGCGTCGAACAGGTTCGTGTAAGTTCCAGAAAACATAAGTCTCAATGACATCAATTCCTCCATCTTTGGATTTCTGAATAAGGTCTGGCCACATCTACAACAACAACAACACTACCATTGTTAAGTTCAAACATCAAACACAAATTGAATAAATAGTGCATATCTACTAGCACAGACACGATAATAGTTTGAAATAAATTGAAGTGACTAAATGTAACCATTTCAGAGATATCTTATGACATTGGGCTGAAGTATCTGTGCTACATAGGTGTATATATATAGACACAAACATAAAGATGAAGAGAGTTAAGAAAACATACCAAGAAAAGTAGAAGGAAATGCTGAACCAAACCTAGCAAATCAGGATGAAATGGTAGAAGTCCTGCAACCCAACCAAGGTTTAAGAACCCCAAAATCTAAAATAAGAATAAGAATTGAATTCCCAAACAAAGGAATCTAATTCAATTTCAAAAAGTAAAACCTTTGTTGCTAGCAAATATGACAGAAGCAACACAAGTCACTCAAATAAACATGCTTTGGTCAGAATCACACTCTGCAACAGAATATGATGCTTAAATGGTTATAAAGTCCTTTTACAACACCCACTAGGCACTATATAGCATAGCATATCAGAATTCTATAAACTCAGCCATACCTTGAGTTGAGCATTACAACAAACACTTGATGAGCATCCTCTCTACTCATTCCCTTCTTGAACATACTGATGTTACGGGACTCCAATCTTCAACTAGGAATTTTAACAAACACCTTGACACCAATGGCAAAAGACACCAGCTCAACGTGCTACTGGACTCCAATATTCAACTATGCATTTTCACAAACACCTTGACACTAATGGAAAAAGACACCACCGTTAGCCTCTACAATAACACCATCGCCATCACTGATCTAAAGCTCCATCATCTAATGTCAAAGCTCCGACGGGATCAAAAATTGTGATCTAAACAGTAGGATGATCGAAGACTTTAACTTGCATATTAGTGAGAAACATCAAAACACCCCCGAGATCAAACACGGTGATGAAGTCATAGTGGTGATTCAAATACCCAAAATTATTTTCATTTGAGAGTGAAAGAATCAAAATATGAGATTTCATTACCTCCTTTGTGATGACGAGTTTGTGACTTGCTGATTCCAATCTTGATGACATTGAATCTTGTGCGATGAAGACCCTTGCGGAACAATTAGTAGCAGAAAAGGAGATTTTGAAAACCTAACATCAATTCAACATTAGATGACCTTCCACGGGGTGGCAAGCTTTAGAGAATAGGGAAGTTTTGTTTCTCTTTCAGTTGGTGATTGGGGATTGGCATAGTTCTCTTTTCTCTCGTATGCCCGGAAAATCAAATTGCGGTACAACTCAGCTTTTTTTAACTTTTTTACGGCGACGAGAATTTTTAAAGGTTTTGGGTGCGACGGTTGTTTTACCGTCGTGAAATGAATTTTAGGACGGATAATTTTACCATCGTGAAAGGTTTAAGGGTGCGACGGGTGCTTTACCGTCGTGATATGCCTTTTAGGACGGTTAATTTTACCGTCGTGACTAGTTGTTGGTGAAAAATCAATGTTAAAAGTGTTAAATGGGGGCCGACGGTTGTTTTACCGTCGTAATAATAATATTATGATGGTTAAATATACCGTCGCAAAATAAATATTAGGGACGGTTGGTGTCAACTGTCGTAAACACTGTCGCTATATGTCAATTACGACAGTTATCACATAACTGTCGCAATTTTTGTGTCGTTAAACACTAATTTTCTTGTAGTGCTAGAAGACAAGTCAAGCCCGAAAGTCGCCAAGCCGTCAATGCTTTGGTCATCTCAAAACCTGTTGCTGCTCCTCAGCAGTACAATCAACAAAGAAGCGAAAGGCCCAAGAGGCAGTATACTCGACTGAGTATGACCTTATCTCAAATTTTACCCCAACTGTTATCCACCAACCTGGTGACCCTCAAAGAAGCTCCTAAAGTTGTCAACACTGCGTCTCCTAAGTATAACCCAAATGCCCGGTGTGCTTATCATTCTGATAGTCTCGGGCACACTACTGATGATTGCTGGGCCTTGAGAAACAAAGTGCAAGATCTGATAGACGCAAAGGAAATTCAGTTTGAAGCACCGGAGAGACCAAATGTTTTAACTGCTCCTATGCCCCAGCATAGGGTAAATGCCATTGAGGAAGAAATGTATGCTGTTTCGGTAAATGAAGTTGTTACCCCTCTGAAGACCGTCAAGAAGAACCTACTGCGGGCCGGTTTATTTCTGGGTTGCAGTGAAGGTTGCCTGTTCTGTGCTGTTTCCCTATCTGGCTGTCCCTTGCTAAGGTTAGGCGTCCAAAGCCTAATGGATAGCAAGGAGATTTTGTTTAAGAAGTCTGCTGTTCAGTTGGTTCCGGTAAAAGAAGTTTCTGTGGTTACCATCTTCAATAATCCAATCAAGGCTCTCCCGAAGAAGCCTGTTCAAATCATGACTGTTGCACCTGTGATTATTACTGTTCCGGGGCCTCTCCCCTACGTATCTGATAAAGCTGTCCCCTGGCATTATGGGGCGGACGTATATGTAAATGGAATCAAACAAGAATTCGACACTGGCGCCAGTATCTGTGATATCACTGGTCCAGCCAAGGTCACCCGCAGTGGCAGGCTCTTCTCGCCTGACATTGCACCGCCCGCTATTCGAAGACCCCTCCTTATAACACCTACAAGTTTACCTGTTCCCGCTACTGATAAAGTTGTTCCCCCTGCTGCCGAGTCATCTAATGCTCGGGGCAAAGGGATTGAAGAGGAGCCTGCCCGGATGGAGGCACCGACACCTATAAATGCTGAGGCCTCCCAACAAGAAGTGGAGGAGATCCTGAAAATAATAAAGAAAAGTGATTTCAATGTTGTCGAGCAGCTGGGGCATACGCCCTCCAAGATCTCCATGCTCTCTTTATTGCTATGCTCCGAGGCCCATGCTAAAGCCTTAATCTCATTTCTCAAGACGGCCCATGTGCCGCAGGAAACGTCTGCAGTCCAGTTCACTGATTGCGTAGCAAATCTGACAGCAGACAATGGCTTGGGTTTTTCAGATGCTGACCTGACTGCGAAGGGAAGAGACCACAATGATGCCCTGCATGTCTCTATCGAATGCAGGGGCACTACCCTGGCGCATGTATTGGTGGATACTGGTTCTTCCTTGAATGTTCTACCAAAAAAGGCTTTAGACCGTTTGGATTATGAAGGCCTAGAACTGAAGCCCAGCAATATCATCGTCAGGGCCTTTGACGATTCCAAAAGGATGGTTCATGGAGAGGTTGACATCCCTATTCGTGTGGGCTCTCAGGTGTTCGACTCTACGTTTTATGTGATGGATATACGTCCATCATACTCTTATCTACTGGGTCGACCTTGGATCCATAAAGCTGGGGCAGTGACCTCCACCTTGCACCAGAAGCTGAAGTACCCTGTCAGAGGGAAGATTGTCACTGTGCAAGGAGAAGAGGAGTATATGGTGAGCCATTTGAATTCCTTCAGATACATTGAGATGGATGGGGAATTTATTGAAACCCCCTTTCAGCATTTCGAGGAGGTGCATCCAATTTCAGCAGCGACAGAAACAGCGGTCGAAGAGAATGTTTCCTTGAAGATGGCTTCCCTAAGGGATGCCCGGGCTGTGGTTCAGAAAGGCAATTGTGCAAACTGGGGTCAGCTTCCTGACTTCACTCAGAAGAACGACAAGTTTGGGCTGGGCTTCACTGCAGAGGCTCAGAGGGCTGTGCGCAAGGAGAAGGTCAGAAAGGCTCCGGTGTTTATCTCCAGCTCGAGGGTGAATGCAATCGAGGAGGATGTAGAGGAAGCAGAGTTTGACAGTTGGATCTACCCGACTACCAGCGACGGACCAAGCAACTGGACGGCAAAGGATTTTACACCTATCACATTTGTCACGCAGTAATTAATTTCTTTTGATTTCCAATTTGTAACAAACAATATGTTAAAACTTTGTTGGCTCGGTGTCCTACCCGGGGCATCGTAGCTCCATTTGTGAGGGCTTTTTGTATGACATTTTCATATATCATCAATCAAAACATTGGACGTTTGTTTCATTTCAAATCTTGTGCTCTTTTCCTTCCTGTGTTATATATATTGCAAAACAACTATATTTACACACACTCACTTATACAGGTTTCAATCCACTCTGGATCTCACTGGTAACAGCTCTACTACCGCCAGTTATGACTTCGAAAATCCGATCAACTTGGCCGAAGATGAAGGTGAAGATGATTGCGAAGTGCCTGGTGAACTCGCAAGACTGCTACTCCAGGAAGAGAGAGCTATTCAACCACATGAAGAGCCGGTGGAGACAATTAACCTGGGTACTGAGACAGATAGGAAAGAGGTCAAGATTGGTGCTAATCTAGAGCTCAGCGTGAAGCAACGGTTGATCCAGATGCTACAAGACTACATGGAGATTTTTGCTTGGTCCTATGAAGATATGCCTGGTTTGGATGCCGACATTGTAGTTCACCACCTGCCAACCAAGGAAGATTGCCCTCCGGTAAAGCAAAAAGTCCGACGGATGCGTCCAGAGATGTCTGAAAAGATCAAGGCCGAGGTTATGAAACAGTTTGATGCCGGGTTCCTTGCAGTGACTTCCTACCCTCAGTGGGTTGCCAATGTGGTGCCAGTACCAAAGAAGGACGGTAAAGTCAGAATGTGTGTTGACTACAGGGATCTGAACAGGGCCAGCCCCAAGGATGACTTCCCCCTACCTCACATTGATGTCCTTGTTGACAATACAGCTCAACACAAGGTATTCTCCTTCATGGATGGTTTTTCAGGGTATAATCAGATCAAGATGGCTCCAGAAGATATGGAGAAGACTACCTTTGTAACTCAGTGGGGCACCTTCTGTTATAAGGTCATGCCATTCGGATTTTAAAATGCTGGGGCAACCTATCAACGTGCCATGGTTGCTTTATTTCATGATATGATCCATCATGAGATTGAGGTATACGTTGATGACATGATTGCAAGGTCTCAAACTGAGGAGGAGCACCTTGACCATCTGAGGAAGTTATTTGACCGACTCAAGTTGTACAAGCTGAGACTGAATCCCAACAAATGCACCTTTGGGGTAAGATCCGGAAAATTGTTGGGTTTCATTGTGAGTGATAAGGGTATTCAGGTGGACCCTGCCAAGGTAAAAGCCATACAAGAGATGCCGGCTCCAAAAACAGAGAAAGAAGTCAGAGGCTTCCTGGGACGACTGAATTACATTGCCTGATTCATCTCACATCTGACTGCTACTTGTGAGCCAATCTTCAAATTGCTGAAGAAAGATCAAGTAGTACGCTGGAACGATGAATGTCAGGCCGCCTTTGAAAGGATAAAGGAATATCTCCAAGAGCCACCCATTCTTATGTCACCGGTGGAAGGAAGACCTCTGATACTATACTTAACAGTACTTGAAAATTCAATGGGGTGTGTGCTGGGGCAGCATGATGAGTCTGGCCGAAAAGAGCACGCTATTTATTACTTGAGCAAAAAGTTTACCGACTGTGAGTCCCGTTACTCACTGCTTGAGAAAACTTGCTGCGCTCTTGTATGGGCTGCTCGCCGGCTGAGACAGTATATGCTGACTCACACTACTTTATTGATTTCAAAGATGGATCCCATCAAGTACATATTTGAAAAGCCCGCTCTGTCTGGAAGAATAGCGAGATGGAAAATGATCTTAACAGAATATGATATCCAGTATACAACTCAGAAAGCAATTAAGGGAAGTATACTGGCGGATCATTTGGCACACCAACCTGTGGACGATTACCAATCATTGAACTTTGATTTTCCGGATGAAGACATCATGGTGGTAACTGACTGTGAAGTACCTGGACCGGATGAAGGACCTGAGGAAGGATCCCGATGGTCTATGCATTTCGATGGAGCCTCCAACGCTTTGGGTAACGGCGTCGGCGCTGTAATCATATCTCCCAAAGGAACTCATACTCCCCTCACCGCCCGATTATGTTTCAGCTGCACCAACAACATGGCAGAATATGAGGCATGTATCATGGGTTTACAAGTTGCAATTGACCTAAGGATAAAGTTTCTAAGTGTCTTCGGAGATTCCGCTCTCGTGATCAATCAGATCAAAGGCGAGTGGGATACGAAAC